TTCTGAAAGCATATTTTTTTTAACCATCCACACAAAATGAGTTTCTAAATTCATCTGCGAGTGAAATAGGCCATGCAGTTGCAGAGTCATGCCTCATTTTACATCTGCAACATTTAGTCCAAACAATTGTTAAAATAGGTTTTGAGGGAGTTCGCAGAAGTAGCGAGGTCGCTTTTACCTGAAGCTTTGCTGACTGTAAGTATGTAAGTGAGCTGATTCAAATCTCTGCACTTGGAAGCTGTAATTTTGGAAAAAAAAATCTTCATGTATTAATTTGGGGTTTTGTTAGAATACGAGCCATAAATACATAGAGATACATTTACCGCTGCTCTTTATTTTTAACACGGGCTAATGAATGCTAATGAACAATGCAAAGGTTATCCTGAGCTGAAGTTGTATTCTCTGAATCTATGCTGGCAGTTTTCAGTGAATCTTAGAATCATCAGACGTAGCTGTCGTAAATTCTCCCACTTATTAATATTTCAGATATTAGATCAGACAAATGTTCTTATGCAGCATTTGAGAATTGCATATACACAAACCCTACTTTCCCCGTTGGTTGGTACACTACAGGAAACTGAGACACTGCTTTGAAATCCAGGGACACCCGGAAGCTTTGGTACTTGCAGACAAACGCCACAAACTGGATGGGAAGAGACTGAATAAGGTGGATGAAAATGAAACACTAATAGACTCTTTCTTGTTGAGGCATATTTAATATTTTAAAATCAGAGCGTATGTGCTGTCTAGTGCTGCTTTTGCGTCACAGAAATACTGTATGCATGAAAACTCATGCGAGCATGCACAGCTGAAAAATTTCAAGCTGAAACTCCTTTGAAATTCATAAAAAAAAGCATAATTTCCCCTGTGCTGCTCTAAGATAATCCAAACATAATGTTACAGTAATCACAAAGTAATTGTAAGGAATGCTATCTCTGCACTGATCACAGTAAATTGTGCTTAAACAATTCACTTAGTAACCACAACAGCTTTAATACATGTGGATCCTGTGTTTATTCAAGATTTGATGCAACAATGTGATTTAGTGGGGGAAAAAAACTAAGAGGAAAAAAACAGAAAAACCTAGCACTTCCCATCAGATTCACTGCATCTGCTTTAGTACTGTATGCAAACAAATGCTTATCAGGACTTATGTAACCTTTAACTTTCTCCATCCTGCACCATATTTCTCCTAAAAAGTACAAAAAGCTTGAAAACACCTCCATAAAACCACACACTGTCTATTCTATGAAAGGCTCACAGATCGACTTTGGAGCCATGATACTTCTGTGTAGCGTGAGCCTTGTGCTATCTTCAGCACTAATGTGCTCAGGGTTGATGTGCGTCTTAGTTATTCAGGTTAATGTGTTCGCCTGTGGGGCATATTTCCATTCTGGCTCCCACTGCACACACATCCTTTCCTGAACTGTGCCACTGCTTTTCACTGACACTGATGGCTTTAGTATGACTACAGCCATAACGCTGAAAAACCCAATATCCTTCAGAGTGATTCGCATTGTAGGAGCCCTCCTTAGTGTGTTTGTGCCTCAGTCGTGTATATCTATAGTACAATAGGACTTATTCTATTCCTATTCCTTTATTTAAAAATCTAACAAAATTCCCAACAGGGATTTGAAAAAGCAAGCCATAAGGTGTAAGTGGAACTACATCTGCCAAATCTTGAACAAAGTAACCAAAGTGACTAAAACCTGGGGTCTAAAAATACAGGAGGTGCATGTGAAACAGCTGTGGCTCAGGTACCTGCACGTGAGTGCTTCATGATAGGGTTTGATGCTGGCGCTGCGGTCCCTTCGCACGGGTCCCGGCTCAATTGTGGGAAGTCCTGTGGCAGAGGTGGTGGTTGTCCACGTGGAAGAGATCCTCCTCAGAAGGCCGGGGTGGAGGCTCCGCCTCAGACGCTGCACAAAATGCACAGTACAGATACACAGTTAACCACCCCGGAAACCTATCTTATCACTTGTTGTTTAATAAAAATCGAAATCAGTGAGTGGCCGCAGGGTCAGAAAACATGACTATTTGCTTTTGTATTAAATAGATAAAAGCTTTAAAAATACTCCCACCTGTAAGATAAAGTTAATGCTTGTTTGCTTTGTCTCCAGGCAAATAAATCATCTGGATGAGATTGTTGTTTTTTCTGCACTTGGCCAATCTGAAACAAATGACGCTGGTGATAACCTGGAACATTTTTCACAATCTGCCTCGCTGGATCCAAGGAGAATAAACCCCGCATCGGACATTAGCAGGCAGCTGTGGCTCTATATAGCACTGTGCAGATGCCTTTCATCATATAGGCTTTAGCCTCTCTGCTTCTTATTCTCTCTGTAAGTCTCTTTTGTCTTGTTCTGTCAGTCACAGGCTTTCTATGTCTATTCTCTCTATTCTTCCTTCCCTGGGATTCCCAGTCTGTGCCCGTGCAATGCCTCCATCTGCTCTGTGCCATGCAGTCATTTGGCACAGCAGCTCTAAACATGGCAGACTCTCTTTCTCCGTCCTCTGCAGAGTGACCTACTAAAGATTGCCTTAGAATCCTGAATGAGCCCATTCACAACAAGGCTTCATATGCTGAGTGCTAGGACACACAAACTCATGTACAGCATTAGGAGGCATGTATCTCACTTACATTACCTTTAGAGCTTTGATGTAACCTTAGTTCCATTCACACAAATTTAAAAGAAAATCTTGTTTCTGCTATGAATACAAACATTTTTACCATTTTTTGTATCATTAAAAATGTATGCTTTTCCAATGGTAAAATTGTTCAAGGCTGTAATTTTAAATTTCCATAAAGAAAGCCCTATCACGTTAAAACCAAAAACAGAAATACATGGCACAGAAACACACACAGCAGTGTCGACATTTCATCATTTGTATAACCGTTTAAGAGGGCAGAGTGAGTTTCAACATTTAACAAGTATTTATTTGTTTTGTCATTCATGGTTTTTTTTGTAGCCCTTTCAATGGAGTTGCCATTTTGCAATGGAGACAGAGAACATGCCTGTGTTGGACAGAAAATGAGCTTGGAAAACCTTCACTCCTGTTATTCTCCTCCTGGGCAGGCAGAACTGGGCACATTGTCCCTCGGGGGAGGAAAGTCTTAATGAGCACAGTTTCGCAGGCTACTCCACAGGTGCAGTTCATCTTGACTACTTTTCCACAGTTCAGATGATGTAAACGTGCACCTGTCAGACCAGCGACGTGACAACACTTTCCACAACGGCCAGAACAGGTATCGCATAGCTGGACGGTCATGGAGGAGGTCCAGGTTTGCTTACACGCTTGTCGGTCTTTGCAGCCTTTAGAGGAATACATTCACCTCCATGTCGCCTCTCCTCTTCTACTCCGCTCCTCACATTCGTGCGCACACACTCTGTATGGCTCTGCACATCTGTCATGTTGACACAGCTGCGGCTATGAAGGGAAGAACAGTGCTCCAAGCGCTCTATTTTTCTTCACTCAACTCTACAAAAATACTCCTTCATTTGATGCTAAAAGTTCTGAGAGCAGGAAGCACTCATTAGCTGAAACATGGGCTAAAAGATTAACATGTGTGGGGAGTGCTGTGTGGTATATAAATCATTTGGCCTTAATAAGGTGGACCACATTTCCATCCAAGGAATATTTCACTGTTTCCAAATAAAATTATTTTGTTTCAGCCTCTTGACTACTTCTGATTAACACGTTTGACTTTTCTTTTAAGGATGAAAAATATCCCTTCTTTCATCTTTGGTTCCAAGGGCTACATTTCTTTGTGTTAACTCATTTTGTTACCTTGTGGATGGATGTCTTCTCTCCTTTCTCAGGTACCTCCTCTGAGTCAGAGCAGGTGTAGACATCGCTGGGGTTATGCAGGGGGGCAGGGCGTGGCCGGTGCAGGGGCTGGAAAGTGAGCTGGGTGGTAAGCATGTTGCTGACGGCCCGCAGCGACGTGCAGGTGTTGGGTGGGAGAGAGGGGTCAGCCAGCAGGTCTGTAATTAGTCCATGGGCTTCTCCCATCACTGCTATGTCCACCATGACAGTTGTGCCTGATGACTGTAGGATGACAAGGAGACAACGAAGAGTTAATCATCATTGCAACAGTAGCTGATGTGAGCTGATGCTGATTAACGGCTGAGTCTGATAGCGGCCGTGTTCCGCTTCTCGATGGCAGGCATGAAGAGCGGGTGTGTAAACTATGTCAGCAGCTCCTTTCTGAGTATATAATGTGGTTAACTGTGACACCTGAATTTCTTTTGTTGTTTATGCTAAAGAACTGGTAGTCAAACTATGCTTAAGGTTAGATGGTGTTTTTACATTAAGACAATTTCTTTCTTAGTGACTACTTTTAGGATAAACTGGAACATTCTGTCACGGAATTCATGGACTGAGAAAAAACACTTCCAGAAATCATTGTCTGTGAACACAAGTCACAAAGATGAGACCATATGTGATTCAGAAACACTGTTTTTCTGGCCAAAACACACTTCAAAAGCCTTCATGTCTGGTGGCATGGGGGGTGTATTAGTGCCTATTCAGCTAGCTCATCTGGAAAGGGAGCAGTCTTTTTAAGGAAGGCCTTTCATATTTCAGCAAGACAATACTAAAGCACACATAAATCTTTCACCAAGTGGAGACATTTTATGAGATGAAAAATCTAACATTGTTTCTTAAAATGGTAAATTGTCAGTGGCTAATATTTATCTGGGTGGCTGTAGCTCAGGTGGCAGAGCAGGTCAGCCAATAATCAGAAGGTTGGTGGTTCGATCCCAGGCTCCCTCCTGGCTCCATGTCAAATATCCTTGGGCAACGTACTAACCCCATGTTGCCTACTGGTGGTGGTCAGATCGTTGTACAAGTTGTTATTCTAGCAATTTATGCTGTGGTATCTGTTGATTTTCAGTCTTGAATTCCAGTGCATCCTTAAGAATTTGAACTTTTAAATAAACAGTTTGGAATATATGAATGGCACGTCTTTATACAGCACTCTGCTAGTAGTCAAGTTACTTGAAAAAAGTCATCAGTAACTAATTACTGATTACTTCCCCCAAAAAGTAACCCCGTTACTTTACTGATTACTTATTTTCAAAAGTAATTAATTACTTCGTTACTTAGTTACTTTTTAAAAACACGATTTACAACCTGAATAGATGATGAAGAAATAGATCTTTCAGCCCAATTCTACTTTTTCTGCATAATCCATCATACAAAATGTAATCAAATGGAAAAGTCCCTTTTTAAAACTTGTTTTATTAGTTTTAATCTTTTAACTTTATGCATCAAGCAGACATTTAATTATATGCAACATTCTCTGACTGGAAGAAATTAGTTTAACATTTAAACCTATTTTCTGCACATTCCAGCACATAAAATATTTTTTTTTTTGCGTTTACACTCACTCTTTCAAATAGATGCAAGTAAAACACAGCAGAAAATAAATAAAGTCAAAGACTAGTGGTCCTTTTGCTCTATTTTCACCTGTAAAGCAGGAGTGGCGTAGGCGGAGGTTTACCCTGGTGCAGGTGTGCTGCAGCGGTTAGTTGAAGAATCCGCGAGTTTCTCTGTGAGTTTCCCATTACGTCGTAGCGCACTCGGTGCTTGCTTGGAAGTTTAGGGGTTTTTTTCACTGTAAAAAGAAGTTTTCTTCCCACGCACAATGGACGCTAATGGACGCTAATGTTTTTGTCACTTTTTATGGAATCAAACTTAAAGTAAGGTCAGTACTTCCACGCTTTAAACGCTGCATGCTCATACTCTCTCCTGCACTCGATATGTGATCCATTGTTGATCTGCACACAGCTGTTGCCACGAATAGCGCACTCGCTTACGTCACTGTCATGAGACATTCTGCAAAAAAATCACGGTTTTAGTAACGCAGTAATGCAGCGTTCCTACGGGAAAGTAACGGTAATCTAATTACCGTTTTTGCAATGTAATCCCTTACTTTACTCGTTACTTGAAAAAAGTAATCGGATTACAGCAACGAGTTACAAGTAACGCGTTACTGCCCATCTCTGGTCATTAGACAACATTAATCTTTGGCTCTCTTCCATTGTGTCTTTGTCCTGTCATCCTCTCCTCTGCAGATAGCCACCCTCCCTGAGCCTAGTTCTTCTGCAGGTTTCTTCCTGTTAAAAGGGAGTTTTTCCTTCCCACTGTCTCCAAGGCATTTGCTCATATGCGTCATGTAATTGTTGGGGTTTTCTCTGTTTTGTCGTAGGGTCTTTACATTACAATATAAAGCGCCTTGAGGCAACGGTTGATTTGGCGCTACATAAATAAAACCGAGTTGAATTGATTTGATATGAATTGAATTCATGTCATGATGTTACTGTATGGTATATGTAAATGCAGTGTTGGTGGCTTGCGTGTGTGTTTCAGAAGTGACTAAATAGAAATTTGGGATTAAGTATATATTAAGGATTATGCATTTTAATTCAATGCTGTCTTTCTACGGTGCATTAAAACATGACTGAAAAATTAAATTAGACAACAATCTATGAATAAAATCTTAAGCATTAAAAATATACTTAACATGAGGTCAGATCTTGATTTTCCTGCTTTCCAGTGGTGTCTGTGCATATAATCATTAAAAAAAAATTATTAAAAAGTTCAAAGTCATCAATTGCTTTGTTCAACTTTTACAGCATATCTTTTATGTAGAGTGACGCTGCGAAATCCCTTGAAATGTGCATTTAGTTCAGGAAAAAACAACAACATCAGAAAACAAATTATACAAATGCTAAGTAGCCAATCGCATAAATAAACAAGATCCAAACCCAACACATAAAGATATAAAAACAAGAAATAGTCCTTTTTGTGCCACTATTAAGTATAGAAATATATTCAGTAGTAGTGTTAGACTTTGCCAGGGTTTGTTTTATAGCTGTGGTGTTACACAGGCACACATACAAACACGCAAACTTACATCCACTCATAGATCAAAGTCTTTATTTTTGCCTTATATGGCTCTTTTTAAAACACGAGAAGGAGGAGTACAGCGATGTACTTCACAGTAGTAGACCTCGATATTCTAGCAGCCTGTTAACTATCCGCATAACAACATAAGTTTGAAACACGTTCAGCACAGATGTGGATTACTTGATCCTTGTTGAATGGACTCATTAGCAGTGTCTCAAATAGAATCTGGCCTTTGGCCTCCTCACTCCTGACCTCTCAGATGGCCAACAGCCATCGTCTGTTTCTGACCGTCTGCTGCACAGCTTTCAAGGCATCGGCGCTGCGCGAGTCAGCCTTGTTTTCACAGGGTAAAGTGAAAAGTTCACAACCCACTCTTAATTGCTGTGCCTTGAGCAGTTGAACAACCACAGCTAAACACAGGTCAGTCCTGGCTGCCAGCTAATTTATCTAATAAGCCCACGAGTTCCCTTTTTCCCCCAAAGAATGTTATCAGATTTTTTTCTCCCCCCAGTGTCCCATTCACTTTGACACCAGCTGCCGGGCACCCAGATTTATTTTATTTACACTGGCTAAGTAGCAAGCGGTTGACGTTAACAACACGTGTGTATACCTTTCATTCGTCTCCTCTTGTGGGAACAGAGAAGGTCTCGCATTTTGTTTTCCTAGTATCCTATCAGATAAGTTGGTGTATTTATACACGTTTTCCTGTTGGTCTGCAAGAATACAAAAGGCATGTGTTCTCTGAGTTTAAGCAAAGTCCTCCACATAGGGTGACCCACGCATGATGACACGCAGACATCCTCTAAAAGGCGAATGGAACACTTCTGGACAGATCATCGTTTATCCCCGCTGCCCTCTGTTGTCCCGCTCACATTTCCTATACTCTTTTACTTTACACTGCGAGCATGAGATGTAAACACCTGTCTTTCAGCTCATTTATTGCCTGATTTAAGAGTTCGCTAAATAGGGGGTTAAACAAAAGTATGGTGGCTGAAAAACATCTGGCTGGACAAAAACAACAGTGATCCTTAGGGGGTCTCAGTGGCTCCAAACGCACATGCACGTACACACGCAAACTCATCTGCTACTTCTGCAAACTCTGTCTTTTGTTTTCACGCGACAGCCGCGACTCCGAAGCGAAGTGAAAACATAAAGAAGGCACTAAAGTCTGATAAGTGAATACAGAGAGGGCATCATTTTAAGCATGCAATGCAAGGACAGATGAACACTCGGTAAGGAATATGAACACTGCATGACTAAGTGGCCATAAGAGGATGTTAATGATGAAAGCACCGGGTCTGAAACTGAACTTAGAGTAAGCAACTTAAAGCTAAGGGCAGGACATGAACATTCAAGCGTAGTGAAAGACTCCAGGTGCTGGGTTAGTGTTTGAGGTGGGAGTTTTTGGACACAGTGGAATTTGTAGTATTTCTATTACTCGAAAAGCTAGCGAAGCCTGTCTGCTATAACACTTAAGCCATTCCCTTGCTCTGTGAGACCTATATAAAATTTAGACATGAGGAGTTTAAACTTTGAGCTATTAAAAGCTCATTGTAGGAAACATAAAGAATGTGAAATCCCAACTATCCCTGCCTTTCAGCTTTTACTTATGCCTCAAAAGATGCGTCTTGCCCAGAAAATACCTCCCGATGTTCCCAATGTTTCAACAGTCTGCAACATAACACTTGAGAATCATCAATGGATGTCCTGGAATAGATGACATTGTAAGTGAGTTATGTAATATCCAAAAATTATATAAGCACTTTGAGTAAAGGTTAGATGTTTGGTCTAATTCATAGGCCACTGCCATAGCTGCAACAGCGGGCTTCACTTGGAGACAGATGTGACCGCTACAAAATAGACCTTTCTTCACTTAGACACATGCGTGTTTGTAAACTAAATAATGATCAAATATATTCAAACAATGGGTTTTAACATTTAGGAATAGTACATCGTACATATTATCGTACATATAACAACTTTTGCTATTGTCCTTCACAATTATTAAAAGTTTGAAATTTAGAAAGGTTTGCGCACTTGCTAAGAGTTCAACAAGCAGGTACATGGTGTTATTAATTATTTAACAACACTGAGCCAAAAAGCAGAAGCACTGTGTGAAAAAATAAGTGCGCCCCATGATTCAGTAGTTTGTCTAACCGCTTTTACAAGCTGCAATAACTTAAAGTAATCATTTTCTATATGACTTTATCAGTCTCTCACGGTTGTGGAGGAATTTTGGCCCATTATTTTTCACAGTGTTGTTTCAGTTTAGTGAGGTTTACACATAGCTCTCTTAAGGTCAGCATTTCAATCAGGTTGAGGTCTGGACTTTGACTGGACCGTTGCAACACCTCGATTCTTCTCTTTTTCTGCCATTCTGTTGTAGATTTGCTGCTCTGCTTGGGATCATTGAGCATACATATCACAGCCTGGCTGCCTTAGTAATTTGAACACAAATCTTTTAATATGTCAAATAAAATCCTTACTAAGAATAATAACGATTTGTATTCACTAACATAGAGTTTCTCCAAGCGTTGCAGGGTCTGATCTTGGGATGGATTTGCTGGGACGTTCACGCCTTTGCTAGGATGTCCACTTATGGCATTGTGTTAACTAATTCAGTTGATTTTTGTTGAATAAATAATGAGACGGTGTAGTATGCTGTGTTTTGGAGTTGATTTGAGGCTGTATTTATCTCATTTTAAGACCTGCTAAAGACTTTCTTTTTTGCAGATTTTTTTTTAAATTATGTCCTGCTATGCAAAACCATAAAGAAGGTGTAATATTTTTTTAGCCATGACTGTAAATGCAGCTTGCTAACGAAGTTTGCTGAAGTTAGCCAATTACTTTGCACTCCACTCTCGTCTAAATATGGCTACTTTTTCCAGCTCTCAAAAGATCCTGTCAGCCATAATTATTTAAAAGTCCAAAAAACAGTGGGAGGCCTTGTGCTGGTTAAGCTCATCTTTTATTTACAGTCTATGTTAACTAAGGTAATTTTGCTGACTCGATAGTTGTTTAAAAATAAACAGAAAAGTTCAATTTAATCACAACAACAGTTGCCTCCAGGCTTGACAAACGTGGCTACACTCCTGCTTGTAGCTATAAAGCATGTTTTGCATTAACCTTTTACAAAAAGCTTGCTGATCTTAACCACCAATTTATCCTCCTAGTTTGATCACAAAATTACCAGAAATGTGTGCCCTATTAGTCACACACTCCGAACTGTTAGGGGGTTGACATGCTACATTAGGTAAACCTGACTACCATCATCAATAAACAGAATTTATGACTGCTCAAAAAGCTAAGTCATATACTAAACCATGCATGAACAGTCTGTTATGACATTGTACAATGAATAACAGCAGTGCACATGATCAATGGTCTTAATTGTTTATGTGAACACACTTTAGAACCGTACATCAATAGCCATGCCATAGATTAGCACCCGAGCAGCAGTTCATATAAACTAAACTGAGGGCCATTCAAAACAAACCAGCAATCATTCCTGAAGAGTGAGAGTCTGTTTTTTTTTCTCTGTACTAATATATGGCCTATACGCAATTGTGTAGGTAGGTTTAGCTGTAGAAATGTACCGCAAAATACAATGTGTTATTAGCGGATGCTTCTCAGTAGGGGTTAACCTGAAGATGACCTGACCTCACGATAAACAGTTAATTTAAAGGCCTATGACACTATGTTTAATTAATTTTAAATATATGCACAAACTGTACATTTTGGAGAATTAGCTGTTACAAACAACATTGCTGACCAGTGCAACCACCCAGAACAGTGGAAATATGATTACTGGTGTTCCTGCTGTGTCCCCATGTCTTTTGCCAAAAACTTTGAGGATGACAGATGAAATATACTCGGTGCAACAAACAAAATCCTAATCCTTCTGTCTAATGATGATTATTAATGGAATACACAGACAGGAAGGTCACATATTTGTAATTTTTGAGAGAGTCCACTTGATGCACCTTTAACCTCTCGGCTCACTCATCTAAACATACAGTCATCTGAGCCTCTAGTAAAGTAACAGTGATATGTGGGCCTCTGAAAATTGTGCAATGGTGAGACTATAATGTGTCCCAGAGGGAAGCTGAAGGTCCAGCAATAATGTAAGCAACTCTGCTTTTTCATAAGGTACATATACTGCAGAGCTTATTTTGCAATTAACCCCACGCAAAAAAAAAAATAAAGAAAAAAAAAGAAAAATGGGAAGAGCAAGAATGTGCTGAGCAAGAAGCTGGGGAATATATCTGAAAATAATTTAGTGTGTTCCTTACTTTGACTTTATTTACCCAAAACTTTGACCACCTTTGAAATAATCATTACCATGCAGTTTTCAGTTTCAGCGGTAGCGCAGCTAACGTAATGGCCTTGATTGCATCTGTCGGGTTGGATTAGGCGAACAGAAGCTAGGGAGACGACGATGTTCTCTAGAATAACAGAGGAGTGATACAGTATGAATCACAGCATAAGGGTAACACAAAACTCCACTGAGACGCTCCGAAATCCCAGCCAAAGCTCGTGAAGCAGCACTACCCTTCTCACTTTCAGACCAACGCTCGGCCCCACTGCGACCCAACTCTCCTCACAAACCTTCCGACTGACTGAGCCAGGTTTCTGGCTCTGCAGCCAGGGTACAATTACACGCTATTATATATTTTATTAAAACGTGGCTCGTCGGGGAGGTTGTACGAGGTATCAAAACAAAACAAAAAAGCATAACTGCCTCATTTATGATTTACTGGGAAAGGTCAAGCCCACTGACCCTTCACACTTTTCTTCCACATATTTCATTGTGTATAATTCCAGCAAAGGAGCCCACTAATATAGCTAATATGCAAAAAACAGAAGCTGTGAGACAGAGTGGTAGAGGCAGAAGCTAAAAAAAGGATATATATATATATATATATGTGTGTGTGTGTGTGTGTGTGTGTGTGTGTGTGTGTGTGTGTGTGTGTGTGTGTGTGTGTGTGTAAAACCAGAGGTTAATGTATTCCTCATGAGCACATCAGTGCACACACTCATGTGTTTAGAGAATATGAGCAGATATACTAAAATTAAAAGTAATTTGAAAAAACTAAGTCTTAAAAGTGGCAATTCATCTATATTATTCCATTTTTTATTTCTTTCTTTCAGGCATTGGATAGTCAAAAGCACAAGTAGTTCAGTGTTTTCATTCTCTATCACCCTTAAATTCACTCTTGCCACAGGACACCGCGTAATGAGAAAATAATCTACTAGATTCTTATTATGGGACCAACCAGAAAGACGTCAGAGAAATTTTCCAACTTCCAAACTTGCAGTTTCAGAAATGTTGATCGGTGTTTGAAGCGCTCACAGCAATTTCTGAAAATTCTTCTACATGACTGCGATGTCATAGCTCCTCTGCCTCACAGACCACTCTTCCAGCCTTGCTGTAATTTAGAATAACATCCACAAAATCTGGGCCTACAAGTACTCTTTTCTCCGATAATCTCCTCGGGTAATATTCCAAAACCGATGTATCTCCAAGTTGAATACAAATATTTAAAAAGCTCTTTTCCATACATAACTTCACTGTCAATTCCTAAGCTAAAACATCCACCGCAAGCTTTGCGCGGGGGAAAAGAAAAAAAAGAAGAAGAAGAAGATGTGGTTTGGAAAATGAGCCTGCTAATGTGTGCATGTTGGCGAATGCGACGCAGTGGAGATCAATCAAGCGCTCCGGTTCTCTCTGTGTGATTTACACACGCTATGAGGTGCTATAGTGAAGTGCAACCGGCCTCTCTGACCGACAACGTGGTCCAAGACAGCGGAGCCAAGGGAAAATAGCCACAAGATGGAGAGAGATGCCAACATAAGCCCCGACTTCTTACATGTCTTGTCAGTCCTTGGACTATTACAGGATTCCACTGACGAATGCACTGCACTAGTCCAAATAAAAAAGACAGAACTGACCACTGAATCTAAATGGCAGCTAAGGGAATGCATCAATCAAAAAATATGTGCTCGCTGGCCTCGGACAATATTTGAAGAGGGTAGCATGCGATTGAAAATTTCTTCTCCGTGAGGGGAGCGGGATTTTACTGTACGGCTGATTTTAGCAAAACTGCATTAGCCGTATCTCTTGTTAAATTATATGCTGTAATTTTCAAGTCTAATCCTGCTCTGTACAGTTTTTGACACTATCCCCCCACTCTGCCTTACCCTGAACTACAGCTTTTGCAACATCTGTTGCTACTCAAGCATACATCGTCAGCAAAGACACAGCGTCTATTTATTTCCAAAGGATATCCTCCTGATAGGAGACCATGCAGTACAGGACACACGCATAGTGTATACGGCCACGCCAGTGCCAAGGGCATTGTTTGTTATCCGTGTCCTCCAGAGTCCTGCCCTGTGGCACTGTAGCAACTCAATACATAAATTTAAACATACACATGCGCACACAAAGATGGAGATGGTACAGTAATGTCGAGGATGTGGCTGTGCCTGCCCTCTACAAGCTGCGTCCCCTACACTGAACTATTCCCTTGATCTTTGGTGGCTTTCGCAGCTCCTCAGAGCCAACTCACATGCACGCGTCCTTTAAACTAACAGTGCAACAAGGACACTGGTGGGAAGAGAAATGCTGTTTAAGCACTACTAAAATAAGTGGGTGTGAACAGGCCAGTTAGCGGTAGGGTTTATGGTGTTTGCGTCATTTATAAGGTGCATGTAGGCGAATGCTAGAGATCGGGGATGTAGATCCTGTTCTCTCTTCTCTCTGTCTCTCTTTTTCTTTTTCTTGTGGACACTGCTAACCTGTGATCCTCGGGAGCCTCTCTTGTGGTCCCAATCCGAACGGGGGAGCATCTGTGGGAAACAAAAACAGAAACATGTTCAAACCACAGTCCTGCACATCCTGTTTCTGTTCGCTTCCTACAACAGCAGCAGCGCCACCATAATGCAGATAAACTCTGCTCAAGCAGAATAGAAAGGAAAAAGAAGCAAAGAAGTGGAAGAAGTGTGGGGGAAATGGAAACGCTCATAAAAGCAAAAATGGGTTTTGTCTATTTTTTTCACTTTCCATTAAGCACAGACGTCTAATGCAATTTCACAGTCAGGTTTGGTTTACTTTAGCTCTTATTCACCGCCTAAGGGGCTGTTGAAGGCTGAGGATTTTTACGCTGTTTAATTACCAGCCACTGTGTCCTCCCACAGGCCTTGTAAACCCGTTTTCCACCTTCTTGGGAGTAACTAAATGCAGGAGTGCAGCGACTGTCACTGATGGTTGGTGGGCACACTGCAGAGCCAAGTCAACGTTAGCCACCCCTCTGCCCAACTGGCTCTGTTAGGGCTTTCTGCCCCATAAGTGAGGTCCTGAGAACCCCAGCAGGCTGCTTTGACAAATTGCTGCTGCACACACTGAGGCAAGAGGCTCCAGCATAAGAGCCAATTTGATAATTCAGGTGTAATTTACTGTGTCAGTGTAGGTCATTGAGTTGTGTCATGCTGTGAGTAAAAACATTAGGAAAACAGTGGGTTTTCATTTGCCGGTGCTGTGGGCTTGTGTGGGCTTGTGTGGGCAGCGCTGTTGTTTAGCTTTTTTTCCCCCACAGTGCTGCTTTGTTTTAAACAAATGCAATTTTAGAGTTATTGTTACTGCTGCCCAATTAGGGTAATTTAGTTTTATATATTTTTTTGCCTTCTTGTACCCATTAATGAACTGGGATTGTACCTTCTTAATAAACTGGGATTTTACCCCCACTACATTTTGGAGGCCAACAGAAAATGTGCTTTTTTATTCACAGCATTTAAATTTTTATTCAAAAAAATTTGTTAATTTTAAGTGTCATTTTTTACAATTGGGAAAAAATGCCTCGGTTTACGGCCAGGTGTACAAAATCACTGAAAAAAATTAAGCAGGTTATTGTTTTTGTTATTGGGTACTTCAAATCTAAAGTATGTGTCTTTAACGTTAAATAATTAATACTCAATAAGCAGCAATCAAAACTAAAGTTTTGGTAATAAAGCTTCTGGGTATTATCTATGAACAGTTTCACACTTCATCTGCACTGCGTGGGCACCGTTTAATCACACGTGATTGACAGTGGCCAAAATAAGCAAACAACCCTCCAGCTGTCACCACACTTGAAGTCAAGTATTGCTAAAATCCAGCAAATCCTTTTTTCCATCTGAGCTCTACCTACTTCTAAATTGTGAAAAAAGAAGAAGAAGCAAAGACAGAAACTTCTCATGTGAGAAAACAGAAGCAGCTCCAAATTTGGGAGAAAGTCGCACAGGATCCATCGCTCATAGTCAGAAGTAGTAGGTTGTTTAGCAGTGAGGGGAAACAGTTTTTAAGGTCTTGAATTTAGGAGTCACAGCAGCTTTAAATTGCTTTAATAAGCAACAGCTTTGACATATTTTGTGGCAAAATGTAAAGTGCAATCTGCTGTTAAGTTTGTGGGACAGTTATTGTATCGCTCATCCTTTTAGTCAAGGTTTTCACAACAATGGGTACTGCAGCACAAAATGTGGTGACCGTGACAGAGAGCAAACAAGGTCACTGCTATATAATGTAAATCGCTCTTTAGGTGCAGCTGACGTGCCACAGTTTTACAGTTAGGATGTTGAATAAAACACAATACGAAGGGTTTACCCAAAACATACTCTTGTGCTTTGGCAATGACTGTATGCACGGTAACATCTGTGAGTTGCTTTAAACTCCTTCGAGCTTGAACATACTGTCTCATGCACTAACAGAGCTATACTCGATAGAGTACAAAAGGAAGTCAACAATCAAACATGTAAAAGGCGTATGTTCATGCAGTGGATGTAAATCACTGTAGACAATAGTATTATCCAGTCAGTGCTATTTGTCTTATTCTTTACAGCTCTAATGACAGCTTTTCTTACAGTATGGAGCTGGCAGTAGGCTACTCTACAGTTGCGCTAGAGTCCAACTCCATTAGAAAGTCCTAGTATCAGTGAGTCTCTCCAGGCGCACACGAGTAAACAGCCTTTCTGTTTGACGATCTTATATAACCCAACCTTTCATCTCCTTGCTCTGAGAGACGGACATAGACTATACAGAAGTCTACACGCTGCCTTTGATGTGCCAAAAAAAACCCCCACACACAATACCTAAGCTGAGCACAACATTTGAGTTGTGCCGATAGCCTCTTGCGCAGAGTGACTTCCCCGGCCACAGAAGTTTATTTTTTCTGAGAGTACTCAAAAAAAAATGTTAATACATGTGCATGTACAGTAGCTGCTCTTCTCAAACGGTGGGTGCAGTTGGATGCCAGTATGTGTGTGTGCGTTTAACCACAGATGGAAAATCACTTATGCTTTTAAATACAAGCTGCCAGTGCTAGAATAAACAATAAGCAAACAAATGCACACACATCATCTGTTTTAAAGAGGCAAAAAGCAACAATATGAGTCTATAAGAAAAAGAACTAGATGACTAAACATCAGTGTATACAATCTACAGCAACTAGAAGAAAGAAAGTAAGTCTTGGTTTTGCTTTATGTTTGCTTTGCTTCGAAGGGATCGAGGAGAGTGGTCAAAGATAATACTTAAAACACATGAAAGGTCACTGCCAGTATCATTTCTGAAGAGGTAAAACCACACATGAATGATTTCTTAGATATCTCCTGGTTTTCGTGGACACTGTCCAGACAGCATAACACAGCTGAAGCAGTAAAACTTTCAAATGGACTTGTTTTTGTTCTAAAGCTCCAGTACACCTACTGGGAAAAATAACAACTTTGTAGAAGTTGTGCCCTTTGTTTCACCCTCTGATTCATTATTCCGGGCCATAAGTCAGAATAAGCCAGGTCTAATGGTGGTGATTTGAAAGTAGGGTCGTCTCTTTCAGACTTTCTGCTGTAGTTACCTGAATAACATGACGCACTCAATAAGCTCCGAGGCATTTTTATGAGACTCTTGTTATAATCTGAATGAGTGGTACTCGTCAGTAATAGTAATAGCAGATTACTTCACTTTATAAGATGCAGCCAGACTGAGGCTCCTTCCGTAAAATAAGCTGGAAATAAGTAACAGGAACAAGTAACCATATTACACTGTACATTCAGTCCTTCTTGCATTTATACTACTTGCCAATTGGAGTGGGAAGGCAATATTTTCAGTTGTGACAAAAAGCTGACACTGTCTATCTGCCTGACCCACAGGACCTGCTATTTTGGTTCCTTTATTTGCAGCTGCACATAAAGTTCAAAGGACTGGCTGAAGGTGAATTTAAACCAAAAGGGTGAGGTGGTCAGTAAAGTGACTCTTAGCCAGTCACATCTCTGGTCTCATTGCTCTGAAGGAAGTGCACCAATCACAGTGAAGCACGCCAACAATAGGTGGAAATAAAGCGTAAAGAAGCTCTTTAAGGACATCGGTCTGCATGGTGCAGAGCAGCATGGCATGAACACAAAAGTAAAATCTGCAGCCAGAGAGAGAAATGGTGTGAGTGCTATTTAAAGTACACAGCACTGATAAATAAAACCACACTAACCAATTTATATGCTCGCGTCTCAGCTATTTTAGTTTTATTTCTAATTATCTCGCGTAAATAACTGATCACATTTGACTGTAAAATGCAGCGCAGCAGGATTTGCATCATAACGCATTACAAGAATGAATAAGGATGCTCTTACACTGTAATGGGGATCAGCCAGGCACAATATCCCAACCAAGCTGTGATCTCATGGCTCAAACAGCACCAGCCTAGTAAACTCCCAACCGTCCTCAAGCATAGAGTGTTAAGAGGGCAGCTGTGTGGATTCCAGTATACAGAAAATGCCCTTTCTACCACCATGGCACGCTGCCGTGCCTCTGAGGTGCTGGGCAAACACCATGGTGTCAAAGCACAAACAAACTACTGGAATATGCTTGTTGTTTCACTTGCTCCCGCCAATATCCAGCTGAGAACCACATCTCTGTGGCTGTGAAGTGGTGGGAGCTGCAGCAGCAGCACCTATAGCACCACTTTTACTGTGACTAACCAGAAGCCTCACAGTAAACACTTCCCACTGTTATCAAGTTAAACAAGATGAATTATTTTGAACAACGATATGGGTTATTTCCTTTCTTTTTTCATTATGTTCTGCATATTTATATAATAGTGTATTACGTAATATCCTGTATATGTATATATGTGTGTGTATATATATATATATATATATTTTTTTAAATATAAATATATATATATATATATACATATATATATATAGGGCTGTTAGAAGCTGGGATGAGAAGTCAGTGCCAGCCAATCACCCCGTTAGAGAAGAGGGAGGGAGAAAAAGAGCTGTGTCCAGGTCTTTCAGTATGGTCGGGTTAATTAAGGTGCTGTTGTGAGGCCAAAAGATCAGTCTGCAGGATTTCCAGTGAGCTTGACCCAAAGGTTTAATGAAGCACCTCTGTGTCCAATTAAACTCTCACTTACAGTTAGGTCTGCAAAGTCATGAATTCACACATATGTCCGTTACACACGCACGCGCACTCGTTCATACATGAGCACACACCCACCGCCTCGAGGTCTCTGAGTATTTCCTTTCTTTATTTTCCTTTGTTCTTTTATCTGTGCACTGTGTCAAAGATATTCTGATGTCTGTAGTGTTTGACTCAGACATCCCTGCACTCGCTTTCACTCTAGCTGACATAAAGAAAGTAGGTCAGATTCTACTAAGTCTTTCTATGTGAAAGCTTCAGAAATTATAGCGGCTTAGCCCTAAGGACACCATCAAGGCAACAATCAAAGAACTTTATTCTCCCTTTCATGGGTGTTAGAACCACAGTAAAACTCTACTTTGCTCGCCCTACCTTTGACAACGAGGTGTAGTCTTGTTTTACACCT